GGAACTAACAGAAGATTTCAGCATAGCGTCAGGATACAAGATAAACATAAAAAAATCAGTTGGATTCTTTTACATCAACAAACAGAACCTCAAAGAGGAAATCACCAAATCAATACCATATACAATAGCCCCCAATAAAATAAAATACTTAGGAATAAATCTAACCAGGGATGTAAAAGGCCTATATAACGAAAACTACAAGACAGTACTGCAAGAAACAAAAAGAGACCTGCATAAGTGGAAAAACATACCTTGCTCATGGATAAGTAGACTCAACATTATGAAAATGTCAATTCTACCTAAAGCGATCTAGAGATACAATGCAATCTTGATGCAAATCCCACCGGCATTTTTTAATGAGATGGAGAAACAAATCACCAACTTCATATGGAAAGGGAAAAGGCCCTGGATAAGTAAAGCATTACTCAAGAAGAAGAAAGTGGGAGGCCTCACACTACCTGATTTTAGAAACTATTATACCACCACAGTAGTCAAAACAGCCTGGTACTGGTACAACAACAGATACATAAACCAATGGAACAGAGTTGAGAATCCAGACATAAATTCATCCACCTATAAGCAGCTGATATTTGACAAAGGCCCAAAGTCCATCAAATGGGGGAAAAGACAGTCTCTTTAACAAATGGTGCTGACATAACTGGATATCCATCTGCAAAAAACTGAAACAAGATTCATACCTCACACTATGCACAAAAAACTAACTCAAAATAGATCAAAGACTTAAATATAAAATCAAAAACGATAAAGATCATGGAAGAAGAAATAGGGGCAATGTTAGGAGCCCTAATACATGGCATAAACACAATACGAACCATAAGTAACAATGCACAAGCACCAGAAGAAAGACTAGACAAATGGGAGCTCCTAAAAATCAAACACTTATGCGCATCAAAAGACTTCACCAAAAGAGTAAAAAGACAACCTACAGACTGGGAAAAAATTTCTGGCTACAACAAATCCAATCAGCATCTTATCTCTAAAATCTACAAGATACTGCAAAACCTCAACAACAAAAAGACAAATAACTCAATTAAAAAATGGGCAAAGGATATGAACAGGCACTTTGCCAAAGAAGATATTCAGGCAGCTAACAGACACATGAAGAAATGCTCAGGATCATTAGCTATTAGAGAAATGCAGATCGAAACTACAATGAGATATCATCTCACCCCAACAAGGCTACCATTAATCCAAAAAACAAAATAATAAATGCTGGAGAGGTTGTGGAGAGACTGGAACACTTATACACTGTTGGTGGGAATGTAAAATGGTACAACCACTTTGGAAATCTATTTGGCG